TTCTAAATTTACCTTCTATTATACTCCCTACTTTTTAACATGTGAGAGGACGATTTTGTTCGAAAACCGCACAAGTAACAATTTGATTTCAGAAAAAAAGCTCGAAGTCCTGTTGAGGTCACGTAAAGCACCTGTTCAACTTCAAAGAAGAATTCGAAATAAAAATAAAAAATACATATTTTATTTGAAAAATTGAAGTTTATGGTCATAGTTTTTTTGGGATGACCCTGCGTAAATTAATTTATCCTGAAAAAACGCGTTTTAACAAAAAATTTGACGGGTTCAAACTTTTCTCCAAAAAACACACGGTTGAATTTAAATTTGCCTTAACTTTGAAACTGGATAACTTCTGATTGCTTCGAGCGAGTTGGTTTCCGTTTGAAGCGTTATTTAGCACCTATTGTGTTCTGTGAGTCCCTGTTTTGATCAAAATTAATCGCCTCAGATAACATTTCTACAGGGTGGCAAATGAAAAAATGCAAAATTTTGCTCCAGAAATCAACTTTTGGCTCTTGCAGCAATAATTTTTCTGTTCATGATTCGATTTTTAGGCTCTAGCGCTGATATTGCAGCTAACCCTTCATAGACAATTTAAGACAAAAATTCAATATACGGTGTTGCATAAAAAATGGTCCAAATGGTTCTGGCAGATTTTCAACTAAGTGAAGTTCACTTTCAAATATTTCGTTCATTCATACAGCTTGGAATCCTGATTTTTCCATAAGTCGACTGCAAAGTTTTACCCTGAACACGACCCTTAGATTTTGTTAATTGGTTCAAAAAAAAATCACTGCAATACCAAAATGAGACTCAAATTTATTTGAGACCACTCTGTACATAAACGAGATGGGCGAAAAATTTGCAAACTTCTTACCAGATGCGAGGTCTGACCAGAAATACAAAACAACTTTTTTGTGCAACTGAGAGCATATGGAACTTTCACCAATCGTGCATTGTTTCATTTGCCACCCTATAGAAACTTGATCGGACGGACTCATTTCTCGCAAAACCACGCACTAACCGAAAAAGAATTGCACTAAAAAACGCTTCACACAGAAATCAATTCGTTCTAATCAGTCAGAATTTATCAAGTTCCAAAGTTAAAGCAAATTTAGATTTGTAACGTTCAGTTTGTTAAGCAGTTTAATATCTAATGGGACTCACTGTATATTTTTTCCATGCAGAATCTTGCTTTTAGTTTTTTTTGCGCATTATTTCCGGACGCCCTGTATATCTAATTTCAGTATTCATAATCTTTATGATATTTTTTTGTGCATGCTTAAAGTTGCGACGCATTCAATGCGAATATACAAATTTTCCTTACATTCATTAAATGCAGCCAATTAAAGATCTTTTTTCACTTAGACTTTCCGGATTATTGTGTGATTTTCCTTGTCAGGGAAACCTTGCTTTCCTCCCTTTTGAAGAAATAGAAAATTTGCAGATTTTTTTAAAATACAGCTTAAAGAATCACTTAAAATAATAAAACTTAAAAAAGGAAAATAGCTGTTAAATGTATCCCTCCGTTGATCTAGAATTAGATATGAGAAGAAAATGGGTAAAAAACAATTAATCCTCATGAAAATTGGATGAAAAAAGTAAACTGCTGGAAGAATATCAAGAACACAAATGAAACAA